CCCCGGGTTTGCTGCTGGTTCTTCCCGGGTTGGCTACTGTCCCTTCCACCTCCGTGGAAGGGCAGTTCCCCCTGGCCACATTCCCCACTTCCGCAGGGGAGCGGCACACCGCCGGCCGGCTCTTCTCGGGGGCTGCACAGGTGTTCCTTCAGCTAGATGTTCCCCTTAGATGTTCCTGGTGCATGCCGTCTCTCTCCTCCTTTATAGTCCTCCTCTGCCAATCCTAACTCGGCTGCCCACACGCCGAGCACGCCGCTCTCCTCCAATCAGGAGCAGCTTCTGCAGCTTGTCAAGTTGGTGAGAGGCAGCTGGGTAGAAGCTGTTTACTTCTCTCCCAGCGCCATATTGGGAGAGCAGATGCATAGAATAAGTCTTAATTCCAGTAACTTAGTCCAGTCCGGATTGCTCCCCACACCGGCCCTGGAAGATTTTTAAGAGATATGTTAGTCTGTATCCCAGAGCATCCTTTGGAGTGAACTATGTGAAACAGCCTGGTTCCAGTAGGTTAAATGTTGACTTTGTTACAGGGCATGTGTCTGCCCACAGTCCTGAGGCTCTCCACCTGCTATCTCGGCCACCCTCTTGTTGGGTGTTTTCCCAGACCTGCCCTGTTCCCCCTAGAACCGCACAAACGTGCCTTTGTGGTGAGCAGAACACTCAGACAAACAGCTGCCTCTTCAGTGGTGACTCTTGACCATTGCACCCAGGCTCTGTCCTCTTGTTCTCAGCAGCTTCCCAGACATCCACTCACCTGTGCCTAATGACACTTCAGACTCAGCAGACTCAGAACGAAACCCACGGTCACCCTTGCTTTCCTGCCCTCTGCCCCCACCAATCCAACACCCAATACTCGGCCATCTGCCCTGGAGCCAAGTCCAAAATCTCAGTTATTCTTCTCTCCTTGACTCTGCTTAATCAGTCACTGTAGTTCATCTGTGCCACCCTGCATGGTACCGACTGTGCCCCGACTCCACCATCACTGCCCACCCTCGTAATCACGGGTCTGGATGGTTGCTGTAACCTGTGTCTGGTCTCCCAGCTTCCGTCCCTTCCTCCCACCAAATCCATCCTACATAAATGATTGTTAAATGGGGGGATGTGCCTTAGAAGGATCTCTTTGCCCCTACAGATGCAGATCCACTAATTGAGAATAGGTCTTGGGTATCTTGTTTTATAACACAATTGCCAGGTCACTTCTGTGCTTACCCCTGATTTTTATCATATTCTACAAGTTTCTAGAATTATCTTGTAAAATCCTGACTGAAAGGGCAGATGTTCGGTGTAGCAGTTAAGCTGCTATTTTGGATGCCTGGGTTTGAGTCCCAGCTTCACTCCTGATTTCAGCTTCCTGCTACTCCTCACCCTGGGAGGCAGCAGGTGATGGCCCAAGCACTTGGGTCCCTGCCACCTATGTGGAAGACCCAGATTAAATTCCTGGCTCCTGACTTTGGCCTGGCCTAGCCCTGACAGTATTTGTGGAGTGAACCAGCAGGTGGAGGATCTCTGCCTCTCTCTCCCCCCCATTTCCCCTTTCCCCCTTTCCCCCCTCCCTCCCTTTCTCCTTCCTCCCCCTCTCCCTCCCTCCCTCCCTCTATTTCAAATAAACACAAATTCAAAATAAATAGAAATAACTAAAAACCCAACTATGGTCACATCAGTTTTTTGGCTTCCCCCACTGCCTACCTTGTGAAGTCAGACTCCTTAACTTGTGATGCAATAAGTTTCGTTCACATCCTGACCCTTTGTGTACTGATCCGATGTATTTTCAGCTACTCCTCAAAAGTGGTCCTTGAGGCTTAGTCCTTGGACTAACCAGATATGTTACACAGCCCAGTAAACCACGGAGGTTTGGAATCTGTGTGTTTTCAGACCAGGGAGGGTGCCCTTAGTGGTGATGTTTTTGCATCTGGAAGCTGCTGCTCATTACTTCCCTGGCCGTGCTTCCCCTCACTCCTGCAAGCAGGAGTTTATTTATTCAAAAGGTTGGGTGAGAGACACAGAAAGAGAGGTCTTCCATCCACTGGTTCACTCCCCAGATGGCCCCAGTAGCCAAGGCTGGGCCGACCTGAAGTCAGGAGCCAAGAACTCCGTCTGGGTCTCCCACATGGGCAGGAACTCAAATACCCAAGCCATTTATCTGCTGCTTGCCAGGCACATTAGTAGGGAGCTGGACCAGAAGCGGAGCAGCTGGGATGCCACAGTTGCAAGCAGCAGTTTAACTCACCATCTTACAACACTGGCCCATCCAAGTCTTTACAACTGCCTTCTCTGACTAGCTGATTTCCTGCTACCTGTATCATCCATCTGCTTCTGCAGCCGCCAAATGGGGGTGGGGGGTGGGGGTGGAGCACATCTTAGCAACAGAGAAAGAACCTAACAAACTTCTGGTCCAGAGAATGCTTGGTAGCCTTTCTGGTGTCCTGGAACTCAGCATCCAGAGAGACCTCGCTGAGATTGTCACCAGAGGAAGACACGTGCTACCTGGAGACGTGTTCAGCGTGTTCAGCTGGTTTTAAGTGTTGAAGATCAACAAAACAAAGCTGATGAGCATGCCCATTTTTCTGTTGTCCTAAGTTCCTGTAACTTGTGCCATCAGCGTCTTGAAGTCGTCTTTCAGCTGTGAACCATGAAGGCTTTCGGGGCGTGGGCAGTCATTTTGGGTGTGTGACAGCCAAGCGTGCACCTGCACTGTTGGCTTCCCCAGCAAACCGTGGCTCTCGTGGCAGTCCTGCCGTGAAGGCCTTTCCATCTCGAGCGACATGCCCTTGGCTCTCAAGCAAAACATGTTAGGAGTTCAGACAGGGTTTGCAATTTGGGGGCAAGTATGATGAGGGTACAGGGCAGACTGTAGTTACTGCTGTCTGATTTTGAATCCTACAGAAAGGCATCTCTGTGCTAAATAGTTGAACATCTGATAACGATGATTATTACAGATACTTTTGTGGCATCAGACCAAACACTATAAATCATGAAATTTTATCACATGGACCCATGTTTAAAGAATTTATAAAACTGTCCCATTGTCATTTTTCCTCTGAATGTAAGAAGGAAAATTGAATGCAGTCGTTATCTTTAATATTGAGATACACTGAATAACTGGCATTCGTTTTGAAAGTCACACGAAAATGTCCTTATCTTATTTTGGGTATGGGTTGCTAATAAAAAAGCCAATACATTAAGGCAGCAAAGGCCATTCGGTTTCCAGGACCAGAATGATCCAATGCCCTGAGTGTGGCAACTTGTGACGCTGAGTTTGGACCTTGGGCTGCACTTGCTCCTTGCTCCAGTCGGACAACTGATTTAAAAGAACCAGAGGCAAAAAACAATTTTAACATAGGAGGAAGCTCGCCTTGATGTTTACCTCCATCGTCTCTCAGACTAAAACAGTTGACTCAATGATTATGACTCAGCCGAGACAAGCACGTGAATAGATTTGAAAGTTTTGGGTCGGGGGAGATTGGGTGTCTCTAAAGACAGGTAGTCAAAGATAACTTGGGGTCAGATTCTAGCCTGGAAAGACACATCTTAATTCTGATTATCTTTCTTAGGGAGTTGTCAACACAAAGTGAGGAATGTAAAACAATAAGCATAGTATTATAGCTTGAAAATTAAGGGACCTAAATCTGTTCCTTGCAAATTATTTTCTATCCTGGGTCTTCTCCAGTAAATGGGAAACTTTTTTTTTTTTGACAGGCAGAGTGGATAGTGAGAGAGAGAAAGGTCTTCCTTCCGTTGATTCACCCTCCAATGGCCGCCGCGGCTGGCGCGCTGCAGCCAGCGCACCGCGCTAATCCAATGGCAGGAGCCAGGTGCTTCTCCTGGTCTCCCATGGGGTGCAGGGCCCAAGCACTTGGGCCATCCTCCACTGCACTCCCTGGCCACAGCAGAGGGCTGGCCTGGAAGAGGGGCAACCGGGACAGAATCCGGCGCCCTGACCGAGACTAGAACCTGGTGTGCCGGTGCCGCAAGGTGGAGGATTAGCCTAGTGGGCCGCGGCGCCGGCCGGGAAACATTTTTTTTAAAAAAAACCCCACCTAGAAATGAATTAAAACAAAAGCAAGGGGCCGGCGTTGGTGGCTCAGTGGGTTAAATCGCTGCATGCAGTGCCAGGATCCCGTATGAGCTCTGTTCAAGTCTCGGCTGCTCCGCTTCCCCTCAGCTCCCTGCTGTGGCCTGGGAAAGCAGAAGATGACCCAAGTGCTTGGGCCCTGCCATCCACTTGGTAGACCCGGACAGAGCTCCAGGCTCCTGGCTTCGGCCTGGCCCAGCCCTGGCCATCATGGCCATTTGGGAGTGAACCAGCAGATGAAAGATTCTCCCTCTCCCTCTCCCTCTGTCTACATAGAAAGCGACTGTGGCAGCATGTTAAAAATTATTAAATCTTAAAAACTGAAAAAAAAAAAAAGTTAACAAAAAGAAAGAGAACCAGCAGCTGGAGACAAGTAACCCAAAGTGCTTACCTTCCAACTGAGACCTGGCTTAGGTTAGAAAAGACAGCATTCCAAGTAGGGTGCGGATTCATTGCCAAGATTCTACCAAAGAATTAAAAGCGTGAGCTCTGGAGTTTCACATTTTGATTTAGTGTGTGGCGGTTTGTTGGGGAGAAAAGATCACAACCTAACTCTGTGGGCAGGCAGCGAGTCTGACTGAGGCGCAGCAAAGGCGGGTGACCTTCTCGATGCACAACGGCCAGGCACCGGCCATCTGCTGCCTCGACACAGCAGGATGAACTGAGTGTCAGGATTCAGGTTCCTGTGCACCAGGTGTCAGAGCAGAAGCCGCCAGTGCCACACCCTCTGGTCGTTGTTCATGGCTAGTTGCTACCCCCAGCTGCCCGGTGGCTGGCAAGAGAGAGCGGCTCCCTGTGGTCCCGCTGTGCTTGGCAGGAATGACAGCTGGTCCCGGGCCTTACTATGTTTTCCCTGTCTCCCCTGATCATGTTGGGCATAAGTAATAATGTTAATAACATATAATAATAATAGCCATGTCTTTTCTTTCAGTCCTCCCCGCCCTCTGACTAATATGAATGACACCGTGGTTAGCCACACGTCCTCCGGAGTGCCCACGCCCACCAAGAGGTACGTAGCCTCCTCCCTTGGCAGTGACCCATGGCGCCCCCCACAGGAGTTCCGGAGAAGCAAAGTGGCCCCAGTGCCCGCAGGACTGTCCTGCCCGCCCCTCCGTGACTGTCTCTGAACAGGATTTTCTGCTCCCGCTCTTGTGCATCCCCTGCGGACTCACATAGAGAGCAGCCGGTCTGGCCTGCGTGGCTCCTGGGGCGAAGGTGTCGTCGGTGACAAGAGCGACAGAGGCAGACATGGGAGGCAGGGCTGAGATGGTTTTGTCACCATGAAAAGTATTCTTGATCATCCTGAATGTCAGCAGGTTTGCCTTTGAGTTCTGTGAGCCTCAGAGCCCATTCCTGCTTTCTGGTGGGATTCTGTAAATTGAATTAATCCCTGGGAAAACATCCGCCTTGATCGTTCTGCATCCTGTTTATGAAGGTGGAAGTCGAGAAGCCTGGGCCCTCTCTCAGTTACACAGGGGTTTGCTTCAGGGTCCTTCAGAGCAGAAGTGCTGTGGACTCCTCTCTCCTCTGTGTTTAATTTACCCTTCTCCAAGATTCTCTTAGGCAGGGTTTAACAGAACTGTGTAAGACGGCTTAATTTCTGTGTGATCTAAGCTGTTCATGACGAGAGCAGAGAATTCTAAGACTCATTGCTCAAAAAGAAAGGTCCACAAAGACATTCCATCCATACCCCACCCCACCCCGCCTTCCCACCTTTCCTGGAGAAAAAATGCTGTGTGCACCGTGTACCAGTCAATGGCTTTAGATGGTCCAACTCCAGCCATTGCAGCCATCTGGGGAGTGAACCAGTGGATGGAAGACCTCTCTCTACCTCTGCCTCTTCTTCTCTGTAACTGACTTTTCAATAAATCAAAAAAAAAAAAAAAAAAAAAGGAGAAGGAGGGAGGGAGGGAAAAGAAAGAAATGCACATGCCCTGGGCTGCATGTGACCCAGCAAACAGGAGTCTCCGAGGCCGGATCCTGCAGTTTAGACAATCCTCCACGTTTTAGACAAGTGTTCCAGTGATTGTCATCATCAAGCAGGCTTGGTGGCCTTGGGAGGAAGCTAAGGTGTCAGCGGTGGGGCTCCCGGCAAGAGGGGACTCGGGCTCAGCAGAGCAACCTGACGGGACGACCGTGTTGGCCTGGAAGCCGGGACACTGAGCCAGGAGCACCCACTGACAGCCTCGTGGGGACAGGGCTAGCGCAGACGGCCGGACCGCTTCCTTCAAGGGTGGTGCAGCAGGGTGCAGGTGCTGGAGCCAGACTGTCTTGCCTTGAATCCTGGTTCTCACCTGACCTTGAACACGTTTCTCTAGCTTTTTTTAAAAAAATTATTTTATTTATTTGAAAGGCAGAGAGAGAGAGAGAGAGATAGATCTTCTATCCATTGGTTTACTCTCTAAACATCTGCAGCTGGAGCTGGGCCAGACCAAAGCCAGGAGCCAGGAGCCGCATCCAGGTCTCCTATATGGGTGTCAGGGGCCCAAGCACTTGGACCATCTTCTGCTCCTCGCCCAGACACATTAGCAGGGAGCTGGGTCAGAAGTGGAGCAGCTGGGAGTCAGTGCTCATGTGTGATCCTGGCATTGCAGCTGGCAGTTCAACCCACTACTTCACAATGTCAGCCCCCATCTTCAGCTTTTACCTATAAATTGGGGACAGTGAGATCTATCTTGAAGGGTTTATGTGAGCATTTACTATATTGCTTGTATTGGAACGAGAGAATAAGTGAGAGAAACACAGAATAATTCACGAGTAACGCCCTCTCATGGAGGAACCAAGACACTGTATGAGCACTTCAACCTCTCCCACCTGCCTAGGTTTTATAGCACCCCTTGCTTCTGTAGTTTTATGTTAAACACCCACAGCATCCAGCCCTAGACGCCGAGTCCAGGATGTTTCTGTTTCAGAGCCAGGAGGACAAGGTGAGGAATTGAAAAAACCCACCCCGTAGGTTTCCTGTTAACTTGAGGAGCACCATACATTAAGTAGGGTTTCACTGCATCTGAGGTGTTTTTTTTTAAGATTTTATTTATTTTATTTGAAAGGTAGAGTTACAGACAGTGAGAGGCAGAGACAGAGAGAGAGGTCTTCCTTCCATTGGTTCACTCCCCAGCTGGCCACAATGGCCTGAGCTGCGCCGATCCGAAGCCAGGAGCCAGGAGCTTCTTCCTGGTCTCCCATGTGGGTGCAGAGGTCCAAGCACTTGGGCCATCTTTTACTGCTTTCCCAGGCCATAGCAGAGAGCTGGATGGGAAGTGGAGCAGTCAGGACTAGAACCGGCACCCATATGGGATGCCAGCACCACGGGCAGAGGATTAACCTGCTGTGCCATGGCGCTGGCCCCTGCATCTGAGTTCTTCTCTTCATTTGCCATGTTAGCACTTGTGCTGAGCAACGGGGCGGCGGATGGGATGTGCCACACTCAGTGACTGACAGGAGCTGCCGGATGTCAGAGGGCGCATCTCTCTGGCCAGCATTTTCCTGCCTGACAAGACAGAAAGAAGGGACTGGGAAGCAATGCAATACTGACACAGCTGCCTCGGCAGAAGGACTAACCTTTAGGCTCCATTCTTTTTTTTTTTAATTATTTTTTGACAGGCAGAGTGGACAGTGAGAGAGAGAGACAGAGAGAAAGGTCTTCCCTTGCCGTTGGTTCACCCTCCAATGGCCGCCGCGGCCGGCGCGCTGCGGCCGGCGCACCGCGCTGATCCGATGGCAGGAGCCAGGATCCAGGTGCTTTTCCTGGTCTCCCATGGGGTGCAGGGCCCAAGCACCTGGGCCATCCTCCACTGCACTCCCTGGCCACAGCAGAGAGCTGGCCTGGAAGAGGGGCAACCGGGACAGAATCCGGCGCCCCGACCGGGACTAGAACCCGGTGTGCCGGCGCCGCTAGGCGGAGGATTAGCCCAGTGAGCCGCGGCGCTGGCCCTTTAGGCTCCATTCTTTGAAAAGAATGTTTACTTACTCATTTTCATCTATGTGAAAGGCAGAGCAACAGAGAAAGAGGAGAGAGATTTTCTGTTTACTGGTTCACTCCCCCAAATGCCTGCATCTGTCAGGGTTAGGCCAAGCTAAAGCCAGGGTCCTGGATCTGAATCCATGTCTTTCACATAGGTGGCAGGGACCCGAGTACTGGCGCCACCACCTGCTCCCTCCCAGGGTGTGCGTTAGCAGGAAGCTGGATCGAGAGCAGAGCCAGAACTTGAACCCAGGCACTGCAGTAAGGCGGTGGGCTCCCCAGGTGGTCACTTAAGCACTGCACCAAACACCTACTCATGTTGTATTTTTGTAAAGTCATAAACCTTGGCCGGCGCCGCAGCTCACTTGGCTAATCCTCCGCCTGTGGCACCGGCACCCCGGGTTCTAGTCCCAGTTGGGGTGCCGGATTCTGTCCCGGTTGCCCCTCTTCCAGTCCAGCTCTCTGCTGTGGCCCGGGAGTGCAGTGGAGGATGGCCCAAGTGCTTGGGCCCTGCACCCGCATGGGAGACCAGGAAGAAGCACCTGGCTCCTGGCTTTGGATCTGCGCAGCGCCATTTTGGGGGTGAACCAATGGCAAAGGAAGACCTTTCTCTCTGTCTCTCTCTCACTGTCTAACTCTGCCTGTCAAAAAAAAAAAAAAAAAGGAAAAATAAGTCATAAACCTTATACTCAGGCCAATATGGGAAACAATGTTAACTTTTTAAAAATTTATATTGTGTTCTAAAGCTTTAGCTTTAGTAACTGGTAAATAAAACCTTTACAGTCATGTGGGAATTTGGTGTGACTTTGGCAATAACAAAAACCTCCATAAGGAATCCTTTTTGCTTTGTGCATTCAGTTGGTATTTGTTACAGCTCTTGCAGTGTCAGGTCTTCAGATCTGATTTTCAAGGCAGTAACCCACAAGGCATAGGCAAGCGCAGGAAGGAAGGGACATCAGGTGAGCAAGGATCCCAGAGCAGCTGGGGCCGGCGCTGTGGCGCAGTGGGTTAAAGCCCTGGCCTGAAGCACCGGCATCCCATATGGACCGCCTTCCACTGCTTTCCCAGGCACATTAGCAGAGAGCTGGGTTGGAAGTGGAGCAGCTGAGATGAACTGGTGCCCATATGGGATGCCGGCATTGCAAGCAGCAGCTTAACCTGTTGCACCACAACGTGGGCCCGACTGCCAGGGATCTTAAGAGCAGGATTTTGTCAGTTAGGGCTCTTTTACTGTAACATGTGCTTCACAAGGAGGACCAGAAGCTATCACCGTGTAAACATCACCTCTGAGCTGCAGAAACAACCCAGCAAAGGGCTGAGTTGTGCGCCAGCATGAACGTGGCTTCTGGACTGAGCTCAAAGGCCGTTAACTCGTCAGCCGCGGAGCAGAGAAGCCCGACAAGGACTGCTCTCTGCTGGCTGCTTCAGTTCAGAAAGAGGAGGGCCACAGAGATGTCGGGGAAACTGAGAAGGGAAGCAGAAGGAGACTGGTCAGGCCGGAAGCAGCCACCGTCCACCGACTCGCCTCCCACCTGTGAAATGAGGAATATAGCATTCATTGACGAGCAAGAACGCAGCAGGGTTTCCAGAAACAACCAGCACCCGTGACTTCTCAGGAACTGTGTTGTGAAAGAGGGAAAGGCAGTCATTGGAAACGAACCCATACTTGCCGGGAACGGCAGGGCCCTCACTGCAGCAGGTGTCGGAGGCCCGGAGTCCACTTCCAGTCAAGGTTGTAAACCCTGCCCCGTTTCAAACTCAGCAGTACAGACAAAAAGCTCGGCCGTCTCCAAGTCCATACTTAAAAAGTGGAGTCTGAAAACTGGAAGCGAAAAAAAACTTGAAGGGGACAGAAGCATCGGAGCAGCAGCCTCCTCGTCCCCCCGTCAGGCGCAAGGTCCCGAGCTCGAGCAGGTGGCAGGCATGACAGGTGTTGCGGGAGAGCGCGCAGGGCCTGGCCGGGCAGGTTCGGAATTGGTGCTTGTGGGATGCGAGGGTGCAGAGACTGTGGATCTGGGAAATAGAGGTGGGCCCTGTAGGTTTTG